GGCCAGGGGGGTGAGCGTGGTGGCCTGGCTCTAAGAAAGCCGCCCTGGGCCTCCCTGGGTTACCTGCGGGTTCCCCCGAGAAAAGGGCCAAAGGCGGCGCCAGCGGCAGCAGCGGCCGCGGGCCTTTGGCATACAGCACAACATGCCTGCGGGGCAATACCTCCATCCAAGGAGCGGGGTAGGGACTGTTTAGAACGGGGTTGCCTGGCTACGGTTCCACGTTCTGCTGGGCTCCACGGTCAGGAAGTGAGGTCACTGCTCTTGTCAGGAAATGAAGTCACTGCTCCTGCGTGGGGACAAGCTCAGGGGAGCGGCCCAGGCAGTGACCAGGGAGGTTTTCTGTCCTGTTCATACCCCAGGTCAAGGCGGGGGTGGACGTGGAGGGCGGGCAGCTCCCGCCACCCCAGGTTTATCCCCGTCCGGAGCTGAATCTCATTTCCCCGGGGGCGGGGAGCGGGGGCGGTGCCCTCTGCCCTGAGGTTTAGCCCGCGGGCTGCGGGACTCCCCCAAATCCCGAGTCCCACAGCCTCGTGGAGTGACTCCCAGAGTCCTGCCCCGCGGCCCGCGCCCTGCGGGCCTCCCTGATGCACCTCCCGGTCAACTGCCCACCAGCGCCCTCGTGCACCAGCCTCAAGCCCCGCCCCGCCCACCTGCACGCAGCCATCTTGTGATGGCGTGGCAGTGTGAGGCCCACCTAGGCTTTTGTTAGTAAGATATTATGAAATACTTTTCTAAGTATGGTCATGGTGTGGCAGTTTTGTGTAATAGTGTCCTCATTGAGGGGTGAAGTGTTATGATAGTTCCAAATCCTTGTCAAAAGTACATCTTTAACCAAAAATGAAAGAAATATACATGTATGTATGTATGTATGTATGCATGTAAGAGAGCAGGGGAGAAAATGAGAAAGCAAACATGGTAAAACATTAAAAACGGGCAAATTCAGAAACCGTTATGAGGCTGCTCCCTGTACCATTATTTCAACTTTTCTTTCAGTTTGAACATATGCAAATTAAACTTGAGGGGAAACCATAAAAAAAAATACTCAAGGATGCAATATAAATTTTTTATATAAACATTAACCAAAAAACATTATATTAAGAGATATACTATCCACAGGACTGTCTGTGAAATATTCCTGTATTTCACATTTTCTCCTCTCATTTTTAACCCTTTCCTCATGCCACTGCTGTTTCACTAACAAAAGAGAAGCAATCAGAAGAGTCACCTTCCCTCCCATTACCATGGAGAAACTCTGCATCAGCAATTCTTTCGTTTAGAGAGTAAATCCCATTCCCTCTCACACATAATCACAGACTTCACTTCAGAAATTATGTTCCCTCAATCTCTTCTGCATCATTATTTTCTCCTTCTAGGCGAGGTCCTTCTTTTCGGCATGCAAACATCCTATAGTATCTCTTACTTTTAAAAATTACAAAAACATCTCTTTGGATGCCTATGCACCTCACCCACCCCACTTCTCTGCTCTCTTTAATAGAAAAATGTCTCAAAGCTAGTTATACATGCTGTCCCCGTTTCTCACTTCCCATTCTCTCCTCAACATTCTGCAATGTCACTGTTTCCAAACCACTTCAACAGAGTCACTTTCTCAGGGTCTTTAAAAGCCTCCATTTGTCAAGTCCAGCACCAGGCTCTGTGGGGTGCTTTTTCCACCTGCCTCCGGGACCTCACACTCTCCTGGCGTTTCTCCTCTGGCCAACCTTCCCTTCTCAGCATCCTTGGCCTCTGCCCCTTCCTCTTTCCAGAGGTAAGTGCTAAAGAACTCCACCTGCATGTCTAATAAGGATCTCGACTTGAACTCTTCCAGATGGAAATCATCATGTCACCTGCTCCAACAAAAGCTTCTGCTCCTTGAGTCTCCACCGTTTCAGTAAATGGCACCACAATTCACACAAAGTGAATGTTTTTGCAAAATTCCTAGCCTGTCCTTGACTGCTCACTTTTTCTTATATCACACTTCCAGGCCATTACTAGACTCTCATCTCTACTTACAAACCACAGTTCACACCTACCATTTCTCATGGCCTCCACCACCATCTCCCCAGTCCAGGAGCCATTCTCTCTTAAGGCTGCAATGAGCTCTTGCCTTTCCAGATGAATCCAGAGTGATCTTAAAAGATCTATCACATGTCACTTCCCTGTTCAAAACTCTACAAGTTGCCGTCTGTGTGGTGTTATCCTTGAAACAGAATCCCCCACCTTTGTCTCCAAGGCCATAAACAGCCCAACTCCCTTCCCACCTCACATCTCACCGCTCTCCAGGCCACTACCTCCCCTGCTCACTCAATCCCAGATGCAGTGTCTTTCTTGTTCTTTACTAAGCACAACCACCTTTGTCTCCAAGGCCATAAACAGCCCAACTCCCCACCTCACATCTCACCGCTCTCCAGCCCACTACCTCCCCTGCTCACTCAATCCCAGCTGCAGTGTCTTTCTTGTTCTTTACTAAGCACAGCAAGCTCATTCCCACTGAGGAGCCAAACTGGACAATTAGTATGCTCTCTGGTTTTCAGACTGCATGGGCTATAACAGTCAATGTTATCAATGGAATCTACCTCTTGAAAAACACAGACAGTAAAGCTGAAAAACTTACCTCCCTGCTACATTTCTCCAGTTGGGTTTGGTAGTCAACTAGTTTGGTCTGCACCCAGGTTTTGATTCCAGCAACTGGACAGCTTCGAAGGTGTGTCTCTACTTCCTTCATGTCTTTCAGCGATGATTCCACTGTATCTATTTCGTTAACAAAAGCCTGAACACATAAATTAAGACCTTGTTGAGTTCATTTCCATAGAGGTGTATGCCATAATTATAGTTTGCTTTATCCCTGCAAATATTGTAAGAACGAATGTTTGACACGCAAAAGTTTAACTGCTTCAGAAATATTGTGCCTTAAGAAATTAATCTCACCTGGGTTCTTCATATAGACATCTGCCAAATTAGATTGGAAATACTTGACTCTCAGCAGGAAATAACACTTTTAATTAATTTAGAGAAGCCTAATGATTTCACCAAATATAAACTGTATGCAGTATTACTGGGAAATTTCAACTATTAAGTATGTTTTTCTTAATGCTTCACCATGTGGCACAATAAGAGCGATATGCAATTGGTAATTATGACACTAAGATTGTCATCGTGGCATAAAACGGCAGCTCTTGTTCTCTCTATCCAAATTTCTATAACCATGGTCAAAAATAAAATATAAATAATCAGTCACTTTTTATTAACTCTAAAGCAAAGAAAGCTTTATAATGAAAGATGTTTTATCTCAGTGTACTGTCATATCATATTCTAACAATGTTAATAATAGCCACAGATAATAAAGGAAAAGAAGAACATGTTATTTATAACAGCAGGTCCCCTAGGTCAGCAGGGCTCACCGAGCATTGGTCAAGCTGCCTTTGTAGCCCTTCAGCATCTCCCTGGACAGCCTGCTCTTCCATTAAGAAGTCTTTCGCACCCTCCATCCACTTCTCAATGACTTTCGAATCAGCCTAATGGAACACAATAACAAAGGGGGATATTACTCAGTGACATCCAATCTACTGCATCTCAAAATCTATTGCTACTGGAAAACAGACATTTGTTTAAAACTTTGATAGCATCATTTTCATTTACTTATTTCTTTTTTTAATACTCCAATTTTAAAAATAATGATTTTTCTTCATAAATAACTCGATTCCCCATGATTTGACAGTTTCCTGATCATTCTAAAAGTTTCAAAACACTCCCCAGTGAACCAAGCTATTTTGCCTCAATGTCAGCAGTATCTATGATTAAAAGTTCAAATTACAGGAAAAAAATGCTTTTCTCGGTATAAACAGCGAAATATCTTTTGTCCTTACACAATTTAGAACAAGTTTTCTTCTACAGTTAGCTACTCAGAGCAGAAATAAATAAAGAACATAGTGGAGGGAATGAAACAGGTTGTTCTTAGTTCTGCTGGACACTGTTATCTGAGAGCCCAGGACTGTCCGCTGCCCAGCTCCACGTTTTCATCCACAGCGTACTAATACCCACAATAGCCCGATGCTGTGTATGGTGCTGGGAGGTCTAAAACAATTAAGAAAGGAAATGTTCTGCAGAGGGAAAGAGACTTCAGAGGCAGCAACATTGGGAGTGGCCCTGAAAGAATGCAAGTCAGTAGGTCCAACTTGATCTCTACAACTGGAGAAAAGTAATGGTCATTTCCTTCCAAGGCCTCCCATAACACCATCGGTCAGTCTGACTTCTCAATTTCCTTTGTAGTAAGCTCACTTTGTTTCCTTGCACCTTCGTTGGTTCTTTGCTTCTCGTCCAACCCATGGAATAAATATAAATTTTCTATCCTGTTCAAAAAATACCTTCAGATTTGAAGGCAACCACCATGCCTCCCCTTAGTCTTCCATTGGTTAAATATTCCCAATTCCTTCCATGATGGCTCTAGGACATGATATCCAAGTATTGCCCTCCCCACTCTGATCAACACGTTCTGGAAACTACATCAACTTTTTAATGTCCTTACAGTATGTATGCCACACAGAACTGAGTATTCTTATAATGTGGGGTTAAATGACAACAAAGGAAGCTAACTGGTATTTCACCTGCAGATAATTACATTCATGAAATGCCACTGAAAATTCTTTAAGTTTTATTTTTCCTACACTAGGGTTGTTTTGTTTCTTTTATCTTTTATTTGATTGTTTATAGATATATTATTCACAAGAGTATGGTTAACTGAAACTCCAAAATTCCCATAACTTCTACAAAATTACATTTCCCCTATCTTGTATGGCTTACAATTAGGAGTTGATGTTTACAAACTTTGCCTTGTTAACTCACTCACAGGTTTGAATTTTTAGTCTCCCTACTTTATTTTTTAAAAAATATTTTTATTGATTTCAGAGAGGAAAGGAGAGGTAGAGAGAGATAGAAACACCAATGATAAAAGAGAATCATTGATTGGCTGCCTCCTGCATGATTCATAGGTTCATAAGTTGAAGCTCAACCACTGAGCCACACCGGCCAGGCTAGCCTCTCTACTTTCATATCAGCTAACCCTCCCAGCTCTCTCTTACTTACAAATCTGAAAGTGAAGTACTCTTTTTCTTTTGTTTTTTTTGGGAGTAGTTGGGTTTTCTCAGGTAAAAAATAAAGACAATGGCAGTGCCTACCTGAGCATTCCCCTGTGAGGACACCATGTCATTCATTATTCAACAAATTTTCAGCTTACTTTTCAAAATATAGGAGTCAACCTAATACTAGCATCCAAATAACTTTCCATCTCCCTCTCATAAGGTTACTCTAAGAGATTTTCTCAAATACTTTACTAAAATCTAGGCTTGCCAAAAATGATGGTTTGTAGCATTATTTGAACTAAATGAGGAAACATGAAATGTGACTCTATGAATCTGTGATTCAAATAATCTAATATCCCTCCTCCAAAAAAAATAAGTTTAAAAGAAAATCAGTCCTTAAAGGAAATGAGCCTAGGCAAGGCTTATGAGTGGTGTCCATGCTGATTCTTGGCAACCACACAGTCTTTGCTAAGCACATATAAGACCTCTGGTTGGTCATTTATCTACAGCCAAGAACCAACATCAATCTTACTTCAGGTCTTTAACTTCTAAAAAATGTTCCCCTTTAATTAGGACTTTCATCCATCTCCATCTTTCTGGTAATTTCTTACAAAATACATGATGTGACCTTGCGATCATGGGTAAAAATCCCAGGTGACTTGGGATGTAGATTTAGGCATCTGAAGGATCTGTGTAGTTTTTCCATCTAACTCAGAATTCAGGCTCTAATGCACTCTCAGTAATGACTATTCCACACTTTCCAGTTTGCAGGGCCATTCTCTGATGAAGATGGAAAGCAACACGTGCTAATATACTGAGGCCTTTCTGTCTCTATTAATATTATACCACCCTGCACAACCACCTCCTCCCTTTTCCATACACAGCTTTGAAAGCCCTTTTATCCCACCGCGCACTTTCCACAGCTCCCTTCCCGTCTGTCCTTTCGCCGGCCTGATCCTGTTCCGTAGGCCCGTGCTACTCTTACTCTTTGCTATTACTTGCTTTGGTGATTTATCTCTTCTTTGTATTGGCTCCAGCATTTGAGGATCTTACCACAGAAGACTGCTTAGGAAGACATGGTCAGGACAAGTGGGGGTGGGGTGTGCAAGGAGACAAAAGTACAAGAAGAGAGAGTCTAGCCAGCGTGGCTCAGTGGTTGAGTGTCAACCTATGAACCAGGAGGTCAGGGTTGGAATCCCAGTCAGGACATGTGCCCAGGGTTGTGGGCTCGATCCCCAGTGTGGGGCCTGCAGGAAGCAGCCGATCAATGATTCTCTCTCATTATTGATGTTTCTATCTCTCTCTCCCTTTCCCTTTCTCTCTGAAATCAATACAAAAAAAAAAACCCTAAAAAACAAGAAGAGAGAAAAGTATGAAACTCCTATAGAGATCATAAAGAATTCGACCTGCCCATTTAAGTTGCTGCCACTTCTTGCACTGTCAATCTCCATTTCGAACGTTTTAAGATTAGCAAGAGCATTACTGCCATATAACTGACAATTCAATAAATCTAGTTTTGAATAAGGAAACTGACCGTCTCCTGGGCCAAGGCTTTTTGACATTTGCATGGAAGCTTTATGCTGCAAGGAAGTTTTAGTCACAGTCAGCCTTGACTGGAGCAAGTGGCCTGCACGATCCCTGTTGCTGGCATGAGGGAACTTTTATGGCATCAACCCCCACCCTTCCTCCCTCTCTCTCACACACAGACCATGTGGAGACACCCAATTCACACACACCCGTCCTTGCATACACTTCACTACGAGGAAAAAGAAAGAGGAAAGCAACAGACACCAGCCATGCAGACCAACTGACCACAGATAGGCATCTGAAAAGCTGTTTTCACAACCAAGAGCCCCACATGGCCCTCGACCATGCTGAGTCCTAGGAGACAGCGTGCACCCAGGAAGAGGAAGACTACGGTCTGAACGCCAAGCTTAGCAACTTTCTAATTTCTCTTCTTTGAGCTGCAGAAGCCTATAGGAAAAATAACAAATACCTTGCCTGAAAAATTCCTGAAAAACAGATAATGTTTGCAAAGGTTCAGAGCCGGGATGCAGTAAAAGGTAGCTATTATTACTAAGATCTACAAAACTAAGTGCTTTAGGACCAAGATTAGCCCCATAAGAGTTACCACTTCCAAACTCTGGTGTTTATTCCCATTGGAGACTCCACAGAAATAAGCAAGGGTGAGTACATGTTTGCTTAAGGGTGTTTAATGTTTTTTTAAATTACTGCCAACAGTAATGCTTGTTCTGTCATATAACTGTTGAAAAGTAACTGTTTAAAAATAACAGTTTGAAGAACTGCTACTTATGATATTTCCTGACTGAATCCAGCTCAGCGGAAGGAAGCCAAATAAATGAGGAAAGGCCCGGCTTTAAAAATACCTGGAGCAGCATCACATAACTGCCCCTGCCAGCCACACCAGGGGGAGGGTCACTAAGACCACTGCTAACACCAGAGAGGGAGCTCTGCTCCGCCCTCCCGAGGCTCCTCTTTCCTTGGAAGAAAAACATTGTCTCACTTCACTTGTAATAACATTCCCTGTGATTTAAAAAATATCAAGCCCTGGCAGGTTTGGCTCAGTTGGGTGGGCATCATCCTGTTCACAGAAAGGTTGCTAGTTCGGTTCTGCGCCAGGGCACATGGCTGGATCGCAGGCTTCATCCCAGGTGGGGTTGAGCAGGAGGCAGCCGATCATAGATGTTCTACTCTCACATCAATGTTTCTCTTTCTCTCTCCCTCACCCTCCTTCTCTCTCTAAAAGTCAATAAAAATATTGTTTAAAAATACCAAAGTCAGCTCATCTTTCAATCATTCAGCAAAGAGGTGACAGAAACAGTGAAAGTGCTCACATGCAGAGTTTCTCTGTCCAGTTAAAAATCACTGCCCTGATACACTGTGAGCTCTCAATCATTCAGCAAAGAGGTGACAGAAACAGTGAAAGCGCTCACATGCAGAGTTTCTTTGTCCAGTTAAAAATCACTGCCCTGCTTCTAATGTACCAGGAGCATTTAATGTTTTCTCCACCTCCATCCACTTGCAGAATACGAACATATTCATTGAATCAATGAATATATGAATATACTGTATATTAGATTAGGCAATTTCTAATGTTCTATCTTCTTTGGGGGACCTCAGTCATTTAAAAACTTAGTATATTTCTTAAATAAATGTCTGTCATTATTTCACATGCAAAAAAAAACCTGTAAACTGCATTATTTACAATAGGCAAGATGTGGAAGCAACCCAAAGTGCCCATCAATAGATCAGTGGATAAAAAAGTTGTGGTGCATATGCATAATGGAATACTACTCAGTCATAAAAAAAAATACAATGAAATCTTACCTTTTGTGACAGCATGGGTATTATGCTCTGTGAAATAAGTCAGATAAAAAGTTGTGGTGCATATGCATAATGGAATACTACTCGGTCAT